CCCCGCCAGGCGCCACTTCCGGGCTGGCCCGGTGCCTAGCAACGGCCGCGCCGGCCCCGCCGCTCCGGATTGGGCGCCGGGGCCACGTGACGGCGCCACCACGCCGCGGCCTTGTGGGAGCTGTAGTCCGCGTGGGGGCGCCCCCTGCTGGACCCGCGCAGCGCCTGCGCCGCCAGCACCCTGGACAGGCCCCTGCCCCATCCCCAGCTCCCGGAGTCGTGCTACCGCACGTGTGCGCAGCAAAGGGCCCAGCCCGCTCCTGGCCCCCGGCTGCGCCCGCAAAGGGCCCAGCCGACTCGTCCCCTGGAAGAGCCGGAGCCTCGCGGCCTCCCCGCTTCCCCGTCCAGGCCTCGCGGGCCCCGGCGTGAAGCACGCGGAGAGGTTCCCGCCAGCCTGGGGGCAGCACGACACTGCTTGGGGCGAGGGCCGGGTGGCGAGGGGGTCGTGGTCCGGCTGCTCTCCCGACACGAATAGGCTGTTCCCTCCGGGCGCCCCCTCGCCGCCCTCCGCCAGGAGCCGGCACCGCTGCTTGGACCACGCTTGCCAGCCTGAGCCACCAGCCACGGCTTTGCCGCGCCTCTCGCAGGCCTGGACGCACCTGGCAGAGGCGAGACTCTCTCCATTTCTCCCTGCGCGGAGGCGAGACCTCGTCCCTTCACCAGAGGGCATCAAACCCCGCCTGCCGAGCGGGAAGGGAAAGCACCGGGAAACTACAGCTCCCAGAGATCCTTGTCGCGGGGAAAAACCTTTGGCTTTGACAGCAGCCGCCACAAGTCTTTCCGCCTCCAAATCTCGGTTGCAGAGCGGAGAGATTATGGTGGACTGACAACGCTGCCTGCAGACGGACCCTGCCCGAGGGTTTCCCATGCTCCAACTAACCAAAAGAAGAAGAAAAAAGCCATCCTCCCAGCATGACTGCTGCTCCCGGGGGCCTCTTGGCACCGCGTCGCCTCCCGCCTCACCTGCCTGCTTGATGTCTTCTGCCGTCCCTAGAGACATCTCTACACCCATGTATTTTTCATGCTGGAAGTCTCGATGCCCCCGAGCCGCTGCTGGTGACCGCGGGGCGGCTATGAAGTAGCCCTCCGGCAGCTGAGTACAACGCGCTGTCCTCCCAGCCCGCATGCATTTCTCTTTGCGAAGGGAAGGATTTTCTTGAAGGCAAAGCCAGCGCCCGCCGCCTCCAGACCCCCCCGCGAGGGACGGACTCTCACCGACATGGCTCACGTGTTGCCCTGGCTGCTGCTCTGCCTGGGCTCTGGCGTGGTGCGAGCCGGCCGCGCGCAGCTGGGGATCCACGTGCCGCTGCGCAACGGGCTGGGGCCCCCGGCCCAGGGCCACCGGGTGCAGCGAGCCGCCGAGGGGGAGCAGGAGGACTCCAAGCAAGGGAGCAATTTTGTGGACATGATAGATAACTTGCGGGGCAAGTCTGGGCAGGGCTACTATGTGGAGATGACTGTTGGGAGCCCCCCGCAAAAGGTAAGGCGCTGTCCCGAAACCCCTGGCTGCAGGCACGGGCTGGGCTTGCCACGCCGGGGCCGAGCCCCGACCTCACCGAGGTCGAGCTGAGAGGCGAGGGTAGGTCAGCGGAGCCTGGCGCGTGTCCAAGGTCTTCCCAACAATTGCTGGTCGGGGCACAGGCGCGTTAGGAAGTGATTCACCCGGGTGCTGGAGAACGAAAAAGAAAGCTTTCCCTCAAGGGAGCTGTACAGCCCAGATCCAGAGCCCATTGCATGCACCTGCTCCATGTGCTCTTTGCCTGTGTGAGGGAGAAAGGCCTGTGCTGGAGGAAGTTCTGCATGGGTGCAGACGTGCAGCACAGCCCGGGCTGGGGACGGTTTCTTCTGGGACATGTACACAGTACCCTTGGCAATCACCTCTGGATAGAGGCACCACATTGGCTCTGTTTCTCCTGCTTTGGGGGCAAAGGGGCACTGGTTTCTATGCTGCTGCTGAAATCACCAAAGCAAGTGCAGCGCGGATGAGCAAACAGCCTTCCTGAAGGCCCGGCTCCTGTGAGGGCAGGGCCCAGGACTGCACGATCCCTCCTCGTCCCTGCAGCGCTGTAGGGGTGACCCTGCAAAACCGCGGTGCTGAGCTCCCGTCCTTGGCTGACACCGCTGTTCTCAGGTTAACCCACTGTGCAAGCAAGGAACCTGTGTTACCTGCACGCTCGGGGGGGGGCCAGGGTTTGCAGCATTTCTTGTTGTTTGAGCAACTTGATTTCAGGTTCCCATAGTATGCGGATGTGCAGGAGAGACAGAGAGAGAGAGAGGGAGGGAGAGAGGGGGCCACAGGGAGACAGGCTCCCCGCTAGAGACAGACATATGTGGCTTTCAAATGATGGGGTTCATTTTGGCATGTCCCCATTGCAGTGCAAATGCTCCGCCGGGGGGGGGTCGGAAATGGCAGGGCTCCTCTGACCGCGCAGCCCGGTGAGAATGGCCAGCTGGGAGCTTTGCCTTGTCTTTCTCGGGTGCTATAATCATTTCTACTGCATGGAAATGAGATGCAGGCACCCAGGGAACACGAGCTTTGCCTGGCTGACATGACGGCAGTGAGAAAGCTGACTTGCTAATTAAAACTGGAGGCAGGCTGGTGGGGGTGGGGCGACGAGACCTGTGCATGCGTGTGGGGATGTGGGAGGCTGCATGCTCTGTGCATGTGCACGCAGTCGGAGCTGGGTTCGGTGCCCATAGCAGGGATGCTTTTGCTGAGCCGTCTGCTGCAAGACGAGTGGTCCAGAGGGGAGCCAAGGACCCATTCACCTGTGTGCGTGTTCTGCGAGCCCGCTGCATGGCTCTGTGTGTGTGCAGCATGCGTGGTGCCCAGCATGGGTGTCAGTGCTTGGGGGGGTGGCGCATGTACACGCTTGCACACACATGCGGTCTGTGTTTCCAGAGGGTACCCCAGAGAAAGCCAAGGTATCCTCACCAGCAGGCAGCCCCTGGTTGACAGCAGGTGAGGCATGCTTGGTGCCTGCTTCCACTCCAAAAGCTTCTGCTGATGGCACCAAACTTTCCTGAGCTCCTTGAGCTGGCAGCAGGCCCCTCCTGGGTGGGATGCGATAAAAAACAAGCCTACTATTGGCCTTGCTTATCCCCAGTCACTTGGGGCAGTGATGCCAGCATGGCAGCTGCCAGCCCCTGGCTGTGCCCTTCCTTCTGGGTGGCTGCAGGGGTGGCTGGGGATGCACCTGCCACTCACTGCGCTGGCAGTGCTCAGGTCTTTGGGCCTGGCCCTCTCAACAGATGGTGACCCTGTCCCTGGCCACACTCGGCTGAGGAGAGGGGCCCCCACAGGGAAGGCCAGAGCCCTGCAGCCCTCCTGCTCAGCACTGGTAGCTTTGGCCTGCAGCCCCAGCCCCACCAGCCACAGGCGAGAGCTGCTGCTGGAGGGGCCACGGTGATCCAGGGTCCCCTGCCTCAGCCACCTGCTTCCATACACACTGCACCCCAACCCCTCAGCTTCCCTGGCAGGCATCTCTTTCCAAGCCCTGGGGAGGGCTGCCTCCCTGCCCTAGCCCATTTCCAGAGCCGCCTGTACCCCATCTCCACGTGCCACAAGGAACACCTCATCCCTTACCTGGGTGCCTACCTGGTGGACACACAAGAAGCAGGCACTGGGCCAGCTCCCCCAGCGCTGGGGTGGCTGAAGCTGGCAGTCCCCCTAGGCACAGCATCTGCTTCCTGTAGGGGAAAAACACATTGAATGAGAATGACAGGGAGGAGACCACGGCCTCCATCTCCCTGACAGATTGCTTTGATGAGCAGGCCCGAGCACGGCACTGCATGCTGAGGCTGGTGGACTGTATCCGGGCGAACCACCTGCTCCCACACGCTGGTGGGCAGACTTCTGGGGCACAAGTCTGGGCTGCGGCCCCTGTCCAAAGGCAAGTTGGGTTTTTTGCACTGGAACAAAAGCTTGTCAGGCAGTTGTAGTAGAATTAACGCCTTTGGATGAACAGCACGTGCGTGTCTGTGAATGCACACGTGTGCGATTGTCTGTGAAGTATGTGTGTGTGTGCGTGTGTGCATGAGCACCAAGACATCTGAGCCTGCAGAGAGGCAGGGTCTCTGGTCTGAGCCTGTCCCAGGGGCTGGCTCTGCTCAACACACCTGCGAGCGCCTGACCTGTCTCCCTTGCGTTTAATTTCCCCGGGGGCTCGTTCCAGGCCTGCTGAGCTGCAGCTGTGGCTTGGGGCAGCACCTTACCACTGCCTCACTCACAGGTGAGCGGTTGTCCCCCTGCATCCATCCATGCCAGGACATGCACAGGCAGCACCAGGCTGCTCAGGAGCGCGGGCTGATCACCAGCGAGTGCCTCTGTGCCCACAGCCGCAATGCACAGAGCTCTGCAGAGAGATCCTCTCCCATCCCGGCCCAGACCAGTTGGCTTGGGGCTGACCTGGGTGTGACAAACCCATTGCAGAGCAACCCAGAAGGGACCAACACTAGCACTACAGTGCAGCAGCTGCCCCCACAGCCATTCACCCTGAGAGGAAGCGACTTGTCTGCTGGGCACCCCGAACATCTGTGGGTTCAGGCTCCATCAGGCCAAGACTTCCCGCGTCCAGGGATTTCCCTGGAGAAGAGCCGGCCAGGCTGAGTCTCCAGGATGGGGAGCCCATCTGCAGGACAAGAAACACTGAGTCAGCAGGGTGACAGCTTGCAGGTCCAAGACTCCCTGGCCCTGCTTTATTCCCACATGCCCTATGCTGCCCTTCTGGCTTGTGGTGTTACTGTACCCCTTGGCAGGGGGTCAGGGACAGCCCATGGTGCAGGGGTGCCAGGAACCAGGCTGGCACAGCAATCAGTCCTGCCTGTCCAGAGCGCTCACCCGGGGGCTGACAGGGTCCCATCCAGTCCCAGAGACACTGCAGTTTCCAGGAGGCTGTCCCTGACTTGGGTAAGCTCTCGTGCAGGGCAAGGTCTGCAGAGCCAAAGCGTGGACCGTGCTAGACCCGCTGTCTCTCCCGCTGTGTCAGTGCCAGGCTCCAGGGAGGCGCCGGCCACCGCAGGGAGCAGCAGCAATCCGCTCCCCAGCGCAGACGGCCTCTAAGTGAAGGCCAAGCAGTGACGTCTGCAGAGACTCTGCAGAGCCCCTCGCCCCGCCGGCGTGCATCCACTTCCTGACCACGGCTCAGGTCAAGGGCACGGTGCTTTCAGCATCAGCAGGAGCCCAGGACCACAGCCTGTGGAGGGGCAGCTGGGGCCCAGGGGCTGCAGGCTGGGCACAAGGAAGGGAGGAGCAGGGCACACTGAGCCCTCCAGCAGCTGTCCCCACCTCTGCACTGAATTTCAGTCATTGTCTGTTCCTTTACAAGAACCGGGGGTGTGTGACAGGCGTTCTCTGCTCAGGTTTCACCCGTGGCAGTGCAACACAGCAGGGCTGTGCAATATCCCTGGCACAGGGGCTGGGCAGGGCTCCTGGGGAAGGCAGATCCCACAGCCCTGTGTAGTTTGCCTGGTGGAGGCAGAGCTGCCAAGGATGCCAAGGTCCTGCCAGCTGCCATCACGTGGCATCCCACGGCCCTTCTGGGAGCAGAGTACAGGCTGGTGCCAGAGGCTGTCGAGGGATATCGATCCTCTTCTGCCAAGAGCATGGGCCAGTGCAGGAAGATGTACAAAGAACAAGCATCCCCCACTGCCTGGTGACCCAGGCAGCAGGGCACCGCAGAGCTAAATGAGAGGGGAGGCAGCGCTGCGTGGGGACAGTCTGGCACCGGCACGGTGGGGCGGGAACTGCTCCGAGGCAGCTGCACGCAGACCTCCTGGCCTGGCGCTGGGGTTGTGGCATGCAGAGCCAGCGGGCACAACATGGCCGTGTCTGGGGATGTGCTGCAGCAAAGGCCATGGGCACTGAGGGAGCTGTGCAGGGCAGGGAGTGGGCAAGTGGTGTGTGCATATCCATGCGTGCACCCGCACATGCATGTGCCAGTGAGAGGCAACTACAGAATGACCCCTTGCTGTCCATATCCTGGCACCCAGCCCCCCTCCAGGCCGATGTGCCATGTCAGGCCAGGCCTGGAGGGCCTACGGGAACCCAGGGTCTGAAACCAGCTCTGCTCTTGGAAGCCCTGGGCCGCAAGCTCTTGAATCTGTGCCCAGGCCAGGCAGACATTACTGATGAGCAAGGGAATCTGCTGGGGACAGGACGGTGCAGCCCACCTCTCCCACCCTCGCGGCCAGCGGGGGCCACGTACAGGAGCTTTTCTACCAGGCATGAACAGTCCCTGCGCCAGTTTGGGGGAGCATTCAGGAGGGCTGTGAGCCTGCCTGCTTCGTGCCAGAGCTCATGCCTGCAGCAGGCCACCCTCAGGGCTGGGATGCTGAGCCTCGGTCTGCTTGGGAGAGCCAGTTCCAGCTTCTGGAGGTCCCCAGGCATCTGGCACTGGTGTAGCGTGGAGCCCCAGTGCTGCTAGCTCTGCTGCAGTGGGTCTGCCCACCCTGGCAAGCCCTGTGCATCTCTGCCCTGCT